ACGGTACGGATGGGCCACATTCTTCTTATCCATTCACTTGTTGATGGGCATTTGGGCTGTTTCTGCCTTTCAGCTGTTGTGACTAGCGCTGCTTTGGAACATGGGTGTGCGGGCATTTGCCCGAGGCCCTTCTTGCAGGACTTCTGGGTGTACACCCCTGGACTTTTCAGGGAAAGTGATTTTGAGCATGTTAGACCTTGCTCTGCAGAGCCTGCAGATGCTGCAGGCCGGACACCCTGGCTCTTGCGGTGGCTGGGAGGGGGCTGCCACACCCTGGAGGATCTGCAGCTGGCTCGGGGGCGATCCAGCCCCTTCCGGGGACTGGGGGCTCCAGATCAGGCACAGAGTTTTCTTTCCCACCGATTGAAAGCAGTGTTTCCTGTCCATGTGCATGTGGAAATGTTTCTGTTCTTGAGAAGCAGGACTTTTGGGTCCTGGCTTCTGCCTGCAAGGCCTGAAGGTAGCAGCATCTGCCTGGTGATCCCTGGAGAAATGACCAGGTCTGCTCCCTGGACCCCTCAAGGAGTCTGGCTCCCAGCCGAGAGATAGGCATGCGCACCAACCGGGAAGCTAAGCAGAGCTTCTAGGGCCTTCTAAGCGCTCCATCACCCTGACCCCCAGTGTTCAAATAGGGAGGCTGAGGCCCAGAGAGGGACACATCCTGCTGACACCTCGCAGTGTTGGTACCCAGGATCCTTACCCGAGCATCCGAGACTGTGTTGCCCTGCTGGCCCCACCCCTGGCTTTGTTGCCACAGCCTCCTCCTCCAGAACCTCCCTGCCGGGGGACGCATCCCGTGTCCTTGGTCGGAGGCTGCACTCTGCCCTCCCGGCTGATGCCCAGCCTCCCTGATTAGACCCATCCCGGGAGCTCTGAAGGCTGGGGTGGGGTGGTGTTCTGCCTGGCGTAGTGAGGGCCGGACCCTGGAGCCGGGTGACTGGGAGCAGCTCGGTCTCATGCTCATAACGTGCAAAGCTCTCGCGTCTTTGGCAGGACGTGTGCACCCACATCACGCTTGGGGGCTGTACCCACACACTCTACGTGAGGTTGCAGCTCTGCTTATCATGCATCCGAGGGCAGGGCCAGGGTTGAAGTCCCAGCCGGGGAAACTGCCCCAAAGTCCCAGACCGGGGAAACCCCGAGCGAGCACTTCCTCAATACCAGGCAAAGTTCTGGGCATTTTTCAAACATGATCTTTTTTACGGCACAACAACCACAACACCGCCACAGAAGTAGGGGGCGTGTTCTATTATTACCCCGTTTTACGGGTGAGGAGCCCGAGGTGTGGAGATCGGAGGGATGTCTGGTGACCTACCCCCACGCACAGGCCCTCAGCCCTGGAGCTGCGCGTGCCCTTGCTTGAGGGCCTGATGCTGAGCTTCCCTTTGCTTTGCCAAGACCACCCCCACGGGGCAGGTGGTGAGCGTCACCCTCGCAGCGGAGATAAAGGCCAGCCTCCCCCTCCCCAGATGCTTCCTGCGAACCCCACTCGGGCCAGCAGGGAAAGCTGCACGCACTTGACTCAGTTCATTCGCACAACTATCGCTGGTGAGGACCCCGTGACCCAGAGAGGTTGCGGACTTGCACTAAGCATGTAGCTTGGAAGAAGCAAAATTGGAATTTGAACCCTGGCTGGTCAGCCAGCAAAGCTCATGTTCTCGACATGTCTCCAAACTGGCTTTTTCTTGGTTTGCTTTAGCTCTTTTAAAAAGTCGAGATGAAATTCACATAACGTAAGATTTTAAACATTTCAGAGCATATAACCCAGTGGCATTTGGTACTTTCACAGTGTTGTGACACCATCACCTCTATCCAGTTCCAAAATATCCCATTGCCCCAGGGGAGACCCCGAACTCACAATTTCCTGCTCCTCCCGGCCCCTGGCAACCATGAGTCTGCTTTCTGTTTTGATGGACTTAACTATCCGGGATATTTTGTATAAATGGAGTCATACAGTGTGTGGCCCCTTGCGTGTGACTTTTGTCACTTAGCATGATGTTTTGAGCGTGTGGTAGCATGGAGCAGGACCCCATCCCTTTCTGTGCCTGGATGGTATTCTGTTGCATGCACAGCCCGCATTTGCTTTGCCTGTTTTTTGCCTATTTTTTGATGGGCAGCAAAGTTTATTGAGCAATAGTAAAGTTTACTGAATGATAGAGTACAAAACTCCCGAAGAGGGAAGGGACCCGAGAAGGCTACCCTGCTTTGCCTGTCTATCAGCTGATGGGCTTTTGGGCTGTTTCCACCTTTGGGCGACGGCAAATAGTGCTCCTATGGACATTTGTGGGCAAGTATTTGCTTCAGTCCCTGTTTTCAGCCCTTCTGGGTATACACCCAGGAGGGGAACTGCTGGTCATGGTGTAATTCTAAGTTTGACCTTTTGGAGAACCACTACACTGTTTTCCACAGATGCCGAACCCTTTTCCATTCCCACCAGCAATGTATGAGGGTTTCAATTTCTCCACACATCCTCACCAGACTTGTTATTATTATTATTTTTAATGAAAACAATTTTAATTCTAGTCATCTTAGTGCATATGAACTGGTTTCTCATTGTGTTATTTTTTTTAAGAGGCAAAGCATCTTCTGTTATACGATTCCAGTAAGAACAGAGGTAAAGCCAACACAGAGCCCACCTGCTAGCTGCTCGAATGACATCCATCTTCGTTGTGGTTTGATCCGCCTTTCCTTAGTGACGGGTGATAGTGAGCGTCTCTTCACGTGCATGTTGGCCGTTTGGACATCTTTGCAGAAATGTCTATTCAAGTCTGCTGCCTGTTTTTAATTGGGTTGTTTGTCATTTTGTGCTTTGTTTTTTTATTTTGAATTCATTTTCAACTTACAGAAAAATTATAATATGGTCCGGAGAGAAACCCACACAATCTTTACCCAAACTCACTACCCTTCATGTCTTGCCCCATTTGCTCTCGCACTATCTGTACTTCCTTTTCCACAAACCACTTAGGGTCAGTTGCACGTACGGTGTCTATTACGCTTAAATACTTCAGTACAAGGGCTTCATCTACGCAACCACAGCACCATCATCAACTCTAGTACGAGCGATGCTGGTGTATGTCTTCCTGGTCTACAGTCTGCATTCCAGTCTTATCAGTTGACCCAATAACACGCGTTTCCCTCCAGTCTGGGGTCCAGGTTGCACTAAATTATCACAGCTCTTCCATCTCCTTTATTCTGAAATAATCCCTCAGTCTTCCTTAGTCTTTTATGACTTTGACATTTTTGCGTAATACAGTTCCTTTAAGGGGCATCTGGGTGGTTTAGTAGGTTAAGCGTCCAACTCTTGACTTCAGCTCAGGTCATGATCTCAGGGTCGTGGGATCGAGTCTCTCGTAGGGCTCCACGCTCAGTGGCAAGTCTGCTTGAGATTCTCTCTCCCTTTGCTCCTCCCCCCCATATGCACACTCTCTCTTAAGTAAATAAATAAAAAATATAGTACCGTTTAAAAAGATAATGTTCCATGCTCTTACTGTACAATCTAGCAATTGCAATCCTTGGTATTTACTCAAGGGAGTTGAAACTTGAGTGCACACAAAAACTTGCACACAGATGATTTTGACAGCTTTATAATTGCTAAAATTTGCAATCAACCAACATGTCCTTCAGTAGATGAATGGATAAATAAAGTGTGGTCCATCCAGACAATGGAATATTATTCAGCATGAAAAAGAATGACTTACCAAGCCATGAAAAGACACGGAAGCACCTTAAATGCATATTGCTGAGTGAACAAGCCAGTCTGAAAAGGCTCCATACTGTGTGATTCTGACTCTATGGCTTTCTGGAAATGGCACAACTATGGAGATGGTAAAAACAGTGGTTGCCAGGGGTGGGCAGGGAGGCAGGCAGCTCACAGAGGACTTTTAAGGCAAGGAAACTTCCCTGCGTGATACCATTAAGGTGGATACACATCATACACTTGTCTAAACCCCAGAATGTGCAACATCAAGACTGAACCCTAATGTAAGCGATGGACTTGGGTGACAATGATGTGTGGGTGTAGGTTCAGTTGTCACAAACGTCCCCCTCTGGTGGGGGTGTTGATAATGGGGGAGACTATGCGTGTGTGGGGGCAGAGGATTACAGAAAATCAACCTTTTGCTAAATTTTGCTGTGAACCTAAAACTTCTCTAGAACATAGTCTATTAAAAAAAAAACAGTGTCCCTCAATTTGGGTGTGTCTGATGTTTCCTCGTTAGATCCGGGTCATGCATTCCTGATTGGAACCCTGCCTAGGTGACATGTGGCCGGCTCAGGGCCTCCGGGGGGTGGGGGTGGGGGACGCACAATGCCCTCTGCTCTTGGCAGTGCTGTTACTTTAATCCTTGGTCTAGACATTGCCTGACTCTTCTACTGTATGGTTACTCCCTCCGCCCGCCCCCGCTACTAGTAAACATTCTGTAAAGAGACACTTTGAGACTGTGCCAATATCTTGCCCCTCCCCCTGGATTTTGAGTCCTTTGTCCTCCCGGGGGCAACCCCTCCACCACCCCTGCCTCCCCAGGTGGGGCACCGGAGCGGAAAAGGTGCTGGCCTCGCTCACACTTGGGTGCTGCCCTCCTGGCCACACCCAGCCTTCCCGATCTGGCCCGGCTCACATCCTGCAGTCAAAGCCCGTCTCTTGTGCGGGCAGCCAGACCTACTTTTGGAGAGCAGGGCTCCGGAGACTCATCTCATTTCCCATCTCATGAAGCTTCTCTTCCTTGTTGTAGCCACCGAAGCCGTAGGCGAGGTTGAGGGGACACATCATGTCCTGTCACCCAGGGTAGGCCCCCAGCAGGCTTCAGAGCCTGGGGTGGTGAAACCTTGAGGGCCAGCCTGCGGTGGGCTCAGGAGGAACCTGCGATAAGATGTTCAGCAGTTAGGGCAGCTACTTTGAGGTCGGGGGGCCGGGAACCCACAGGAAGTGACTCGGTGCAGAGCTGATGTGCCTCTGTCCCAGCAGCCATCCTGGGACAGGAGCTCAGGTTGGTGAGGCTGGGGCCATGTCGGCGGAGTGCTGGGAGCCTGGGCCGGGCGGGCACCCTGGGGCCTCAGGCGCAGGTCCGTGCCCCCCTGGGACCGCGTCCGCCCCCTGGAGCCTGCCCCACTGGAGGGCTTGCCTGGCTGCCGCGGTGCTCTGCTACATCAACCTCCTGAACTACATGAACTGGTTCATCGTTGCAGGTGAGGAGGCGACAGCGGGCGGCGCCCTGGGAAACACCTGCTTGCCACTCACTCACGGTTGCCAGGCCACCAGCCGGCACGGCGCAACCACGGTGCCCTCCGCCTTGCAAACTGTCTTCTTGTGGAGTACATCTCTGCCGTTCTCCCCCTGGAGGGAGTTCCAGCCAAGCCCGAGGTGGGGGGCATCGCGTTCCCAATCCAGCCCCAACCTAGGCCTGTGCACACAGGTGTGGGTGCGTGGTAGCAGAGGGGGGGTGAGGACCGCCGTGAGGGCCTTCGGGCGAAGGCCTGGAGGTTCTGGGTGGAATGCTGAGTGAGGTTGTGGAGGGCAGGGCAGCTGGACCCAGAAATAGCTTGCTGGGTGCTTCTGGGACAGTGGGGCTGTGCGCAAGCCTTGCACATTTTGACTTCCTTCCTGGAGGCCCCAGGGCTCAACCTGCTCTTCTTGTTACTCACACATTCCCTTAACTCATTCATTCCTCTATTCATTCCAGATTTAACTCTCTTTTCTCTTCATCACTGATTCATTTAAGAATGACTGACTGAACGTGAACTATGGGGCTTGGAGACCCGGGGAGGGTCTGTCTGGTAGTTCCGGAGCTCAGGAATGCCCATGTCGTGGGGCAGAGGTGGGGAAGCCCAGGGTGGGCCGGGGTTGGGGGTCAGGGGCCACCTGCAGCGGCCCTGAGGCCAGGACCCTGGTGCACCAGAGACGGGCTCAGCCCCCCACCAGGCAGCGGCTGTGCGGTGAACAGGATCCGGTCTGCTGACGTGTGCGGACGCGAGTCCATCTCCGGGGAGCTCAGAGGGCGCACACAGACCAGAGCAGGCTGGACCTTCGCGGGGCAGGCCCAGGACGGCGACTGAGGGTTCTGGCTGAACTCAGGAGAGGGGGCGTTTGGGTTGGGTCTTGAAGCCGAGAAAGTTGGTGAGGCAGGAAGTGGAGTGAGGTGAGGGTGTTGGGTGAGGGGTCGGTGGGGGCACACAGTGGGGGTTGTGCTCCGGGCAGAGCCGTCCAGAGGTGGGACAGCAGGGAAGTCTTCTAAAAGGGTGTTCAGGGCCAGATCACAGGCTTTGTGGTTGCCAGGCTGGGAGCTTGGCTTTCTGTGAACCACAGACAATTTTGGGGGTGGGGGGACTAGAATGAGATGGGTGCGGGCAGAATAAGACGGGGGGGCATCCAGTTCCAGGGCTACTGCAGTGGATTAGGTGGAGGCCCAAGTGGGTGTGTGGGTGTGTGGGCTGAGGGCCGGAGCTGAGCAGGGAAGAGGTAGAGAAGCAGGGTGTGTGGGGCGTGGGGGAGCATCTGGAGCCCGCAGGCTGGGGAGGCCCCCCTCCAAGTCCGGCCAGCGGAGGCCTTCCCTGTTGGGACTTCCTCTGGCTGGATGGAAAGCAAGGCCAAGGTTGCTGGCTTGGATGAAGGAGGCCAGGAGAAGTGAAACCACGCAGAGTGAACGGCCAAGACGGCTGGGGGCAGGTGGTTTTCACATGCTCTTGTGGGAAGTGGCTCTATGGGGGCAGATGACGTGGGGCGGGGTGGGGGGGGAAGGAGGCAGGGTCCACTAAGGCCCCAGAGGGCTGGGAGGAGGCCGGGAGCAGATAAAACCAGGAGTGAGTCCTCACTGCTAAGGGTGAAGGGTGGGTGGGATCCTACAGAATTTTTAACTCTCTGCTTGCTTATTAGTGTTTCTGTTTTTTCTCTCCAACAAATATGTCTTATTCGTGTAATTAAAAATATTAAAAAGGAAGGAAAGACATACAGGCTGTATGGCTGCATGCTGTGATATTCGGGCCCAAAGCAAATGTCTGAACAAAAATCTCATATGGGGCTTCTCTGCTTCTTGGGCCTTCCTCCGCCTGCTGGCGGGGCTCAGAGGGGTGGGAGGGGGCTGCCTCTGGGGTCGTGGATGCTCCCCCACCTCTTAGGGGGACACCTGCAGGGCCCCGCTCAGGGGCTGAGCCCTCCGCCGGCTCATAACTGAATGACAGCGATGATTGCTCTTCTTCCTAATGATGGGGCCTGAGCCTCCCAGCTCAGATAAGCAGGTGCCTCCACTCTGACTAACGCTTGCTGAAGCGCTGCCAAAGGATGAGGGGATTTCGGGGAATAGGGCCTGTTTCCTCTCTCTGTGTTAGGCTGAGTGCCCACTGCACTGGCCTGTGGCCCAGGAAGACCTTGGAGGGGCTCCCGAGGCCCGGCTGGCGTGCAGAAAGAGCCTGCCCCCCTCAGGGAGTTGGGACCCAAGTGGGACCTGTCTCTGAAGCTCTCACGGGCACCATCTGTCTGCTCATGCTCTGGAAGAACGTGCTTGTGTGCGCGTGTGCAGCCCAGGGCACGCGTGTCTTTGTATGTCCATGCTCGCACATGTATGTACATCCGCAGATGTCTGGAGCTGGTGCCTGGGCTACAGGGCTGTGTAGTCATTAACACTGTAGTCTAAGTGAGCTGTGCACCGTGTAGCAACTCGGAGCTGCCGGTCGCTCTGACGAGGGTGTGTACAGCAACCCTGCACACGCGCACATGCGAGCAGGCCTGTGGCGTGCAGACTCCGTGTGCGTGTGTGTGCCTCTGCGGGCACATTTCTCTGGGTGTGCCCGTTTGTCCGCACGTCTGTGCGTCTGTGTCCCGGGGTGGATGCTTGTGTATGAACATGGGCGAACGTTTGGGCCTCTGGGGTATGTGTTCCTGTGTTGATGTGTACCCGTGTCTCTGCGCGCGTGTGCGCTTGCATATGCGTGGCGTGGCGGAGGGGGGACGAGAGCAGTGGGGCCCAGAGACACACTCTGTGCTGTGCTGGTCAGCTGGCGCCCTGTCCCACAGGCGGGGGCAACTGCCCTTAGAGGCCCAGGAGGCCACTTCCCATGTCCTGAGTGCTGTCCATCTGTCCGCAGGGCTGCTGCTGGACATACAGAATTTTTTTCAGATCAGCGATAGCAATGCTGGTTTGCTTCAGACAGGTAAGGAGTGAGTCCCTGCTCCGGAGCTGGGGCCCAGGGCTCATGCTGGGGCAGGTGGGTCAGGCCGAGCCCCACCGGTCCCCTGAGAGGGCCAGTGTTGGGGGGAGGAGGGGAGCATGTGGGCTGAGCCCTGGTGTCTGAGCAGCCATTTCGGGTTTGAGCGCAGGTGCTGCGAAGCAGCAGGGGGCGTGGGGCTAGAAAGGCTCCTGAGCTTCAGATCGTGATGAGCGGTCACTCAACCCTCTCCGGCTCAGCTGGGCGCCCGACGCTTGCTGGGGCTGAGAAATCCTTCCGTGGGCTTTCCCTGAAAAATCTGGCCCGCAGAACACAGACAGACAGACAGAGATCTGTACTTCCCACATGGGTTCACACGGGGTCTGGGCCCACAGGGCCAGCAGTCAGTCCAGGGGCGAGGAGCAGCCACACCTCCAAGGTCACACACACACACACACACACACACGTGTGTGCATGCACTGTCATGGCACGGGGTACACACTCAACATGTAACTAGCACATGCGTGGCTCCTCCCTGTGGGCCCCCTCCCCTAACAGTCTGCTACCCCAACACCTCAGAACAAGTTTCTGCGGGGACCCCTAGGGATACACAAAAAATTTCTAGGGACCACGTGAGCAGACTTTTGAGAGAATCCACTTACAGACCCTCAAGCCTGTGTTTTTCTTTCCTAAAATGGACCTGCTTGAGAAAAAGTCTTGTTCTTCCTCCCTGCCTCCCCTTCAAGAAGGAAAATGTCTGTCTTCCCTATTCTGAGTTTACCTTTGGTGCCCTGCCCTGGGGTGGGAAAGCCTCCAGGGTGCCAGGCAGAGGGGACCCCCACAGATGCTTGGCTTCTGCAGGGGAGGCCGTGCAAACCAGGCAGAGAGAATGACATAGAAGCTCAGGATGTTTCCTCCAGGCCACAAGCCCGTGGCAAAGTGCCCAGCCTTATCTGGCTGTCCTGCTGGTGTGATAGTCTGTTTATCTACGATTTAGAATTTAGAAGTGAGATGTTGTCTCACGGATGGGTGTCAACACATTCATTTCAATTAGAAAAAATGAAGCCAACATTTTAACATCTTCCTTACAGGCAATCAGTCCGATTTGTTGGATTGATTTGGCAAATAAGGACTGGTTTTACTTGTTGGAGCAAATGTCCGTAGACGGCAGACATTTCCCATCAATTGAATGAATGTGATCAGCAGCCCCAAGGATCTGGATGAAAATATACTTAAAAAATACAATAATGATGGAAATCACATCCTTTGCAACTATTTAAACTTACGATGAAAACATTTTAAATGTCGGCTGAAAACACATGAAGGGGTATGTGGGTTGATAAGCTTCTTTCTTGAAGCACTGGGGCAAAGAGCCCGCAGACCTCTGCCTTAGACCACGTGTCTTTTCCAACCGCTCCTCTCGAGGCTGAGGTCTCGAGGCTGAGGCCTGCAGCGGCTGCTGACCTTCGAGGAGCCAGAGCAAGACCCTCTGGGCTCAGTCCCCACAACCTTCTAGATTAAACAGGTAATGGTGGTTGAGTCACGATCTGCCTTCCCTCGTCCTAACCTTGGTGAGCAGGATTATTACTACAAGGCCTCTATAAGTGAGATGCCATGGAGAGAGAAGCATGTGCACGTGTGTGAAGCAGCCCAGAGAGGTGTGTGGAGGGTGCCAGGGGTTGCAGACCTGACGACCAGGCTCTCTCTCCAGTGACCTCGGGTGAATCTTCACCCTCCCGGGTGGCGGTGCAGTGGCCCCAAGCCCCACCCTGCTGTTTGTCCACAGGGCTCAGAGTGGAGAAGCCCCTGACTGAGAGGGCGTGGCTGAGTTGTAGGATGGAGCAGACCCTTCCCTTCCAATGGGACAGAGGCTCCTGGGGTTGGTCTCCTGATGCATAATATTTAAAAACCACACTGATGTGGCCTTTACCGTGTACCAGACACTGTCTCAAGTGCCCTGTAATATCAACTCATTTACCCTTCACAACAACCCCACAGGGCAGGGATTATTATTATTATTGTGCCCATTTTCCCCACGACAAACCTGGGGCACAAAGAGGCTATGGGCTTGCTGAAGGTCACACAGCTAGGATTCGAATCTGGGCAGCCATCTGTAGAGTCCTTCTCTTCACGCCCTGCTCCTTCATTCCTTCCCCTTTGTCTCCGAAGTCATCTGAATCTGGAGCTGCTAGGAGCAGAGGAGTGCACCTGCATGAGTGTGCCTTCCCCCTGGGGGCAGGCTTCTCCATCTCAGGGCATCTGCGGGGTGAAGTTGTTTATATCCTATAAGGGATCCCTGCCCCAAATCTCATAAAAGGATTAGAAGATGTAGGGAAATATTTTTATAAGCTTTGGGTAGAGAAGATATGCCTTAAACAAGAAACAATCCTGGAGGGAGGAAGATTGATACATTTGAGTACACGGAAGCTAAACTCTTCTATATGATGGTGGTTGAAACTATAAACGCAGTTAGTAACAACAATGGATAACATTTATGAGGCATTTACATAAAGGTAGGCACTGCCTTTTATATGCTTTATTTCATTTAAAATCTCCATAACCTTCTGTGGGAGGCACAATTACTATCTCCTATCATTGATTCGAGGGGAACAGAAGAGTTAAGGAATTTGCCCAAGGTCACACAGCTAGGCAGTCTTTGGTTCAGCATGTGAGCCCAGGTAGTTCAGCCCCAGAATTTGCATTGTAAATCCTTGAAACAAATATAAAGGACTGGGAGACATGATTTGCAAACCACAGGGAGCCCGATAGAAAAATGGGCAGAGGACGTGAGCACAGGAAGCTGCTCAGACTCACTGCACATAAGCACGACTCAGGTTAAAACATCAGCGAGACACCGTCTGCTTTTCAACCGTTAAATGAACAAAAACAATATGATTGATCCTATCAAATGTCAGCAAGGGAGCATGAACTTCTGTGCCCGTGTAAACGGATACAGCCTTTTTGGAGGCCTATTTTGGCAGTAGCTATTAAAATTCTAAATGCCACTGACACCAAAGACCATTCTCTGTGGAGTATTAGGTCGAACCATATTAAATTGCCGTTTTTTTTGTAGGTCAAAACTGGCCTAATTTCTGCGACTGCCTATGGCTCAGCCTAATACTAGAGCAGGTCGGGGGGAGTGGGAGGGGCTGGAACCTGAGCTGGGACGAGTCTGGACGCTCATTAGGCTCGGGCTATGTCAATCATCTGCGCTCAGCGAATGGAGGCCCAGGGATGGGGCGGGGCCTCCGGTGGAGGCGGGTCCAGGCCGCCTCGCTCCACCCGCGGAGGGTGGAGGCGGTTCGGAGCCGCGAGGGTACCTATGCGCACGGCAGAGTCGTGCAAAAGCGTGGCCGTTTCTTTGTCCTCGCAGGGTAGCAGATGTATTCACTAATCCAGTCGCCAATTCAGAAGAGTTTACTTTAAAAAAAATGGTACAAATACAACCGACAGTGTCAGGGGAATGGTCTACCTACTTCGGAAAACCGGGGCTTTTCCAGCCTCCGGGAACGACCGCTCCTTCTAAACCCTGCTGGTCCGCAGAGCAGGCCCGGGCAGACCCCCCTCGCCTCCCGCCACCCCCGCCCCCAGCAGGGGTGTGAGAGCCGAGTCACACCAGCCCGGCCAGGCGCGAGGAGGGGGGGAGTTGTGCAAAGACAGGGTCCTGGTGAGGAGCACTGGGGGCTCCCTGTGCTGCTCCAGGACGGGCTCCACCTTCACTTGGGGCTCAGCCTCCCAGGCGCTTGGGGGGCTGCTCGGAGGGGAGCGAGCCCAGCCCCTCCACTCCCCCTCCAGTGCCCCTGACTCTGGGCGTTGGGTTATGTGTTAGGCAGGGATGGAGGCTTCACCTTATCCTTTCCTCCTCCTGGCCCCCACCCACTGCAGGTGCCAGCTTGTGGCATTTGAGCCAGGTCCCTTCTGGGGGCTGCGGGCCTGTCCGCCTATCCACCACAGTGGGGGATGCATGTGACACCTGCCTTTTCCCCCCAGTCTTCATCTGCAGCCTGCTGCTGTCTGCACCTGTGTTCGGCTACCTGGGTGACCGGCATGGCCGGAAAGCCACGCTGAGTGTTGGGATCCTGCTCTGGTCGGGGGCAGGCCTCTCCAGCTCCTTCATCTCCCCCCAGGTAGGTCCCCTCATCCCTGCAAGGCCCCTGGGGTCCTGCCCCCACCTGCTTCCTCCCTTGGAAAGCAGATGGGCCTGCCTCCATACATTCTGGGCTCCAGGCTGGCTGCAGGGGTGCCTCCCAAGGGCCTAGAGAGCACCCCCTTAGATGTTTCCTCTCCTGCACCTCCCACTGCTGCCTGTGACTGCTTCTGTCTGGGGAACCCACCTGCCTGGCAAAGGTGAAGCCCAGAAAAAGGCTTCCCCTGGGCCCGGGGCCCCCCCCCGGTGACTACAGGCACCAGCAGGGGGCACCCATGTGATGTGGGGGGTGGGGGGGGGAAATGGGCTGGGAGGCCAGCCAGGGGTCTTTAGCCCCATCCCCTCCTCCTCCCCCCGGGGGCACGTATCATCATTCCGGTCCCTTGCCCTGTGGGTGATCCCAGACTCACTGGCTTCTTGTGTCAGCATTCTTGGCTCTTCTTCCTGTCCCGGGGAGTCGTGGGCATAGGCTCGGCCAGCTACTCCACCATCGCGCCCACCATCCTGGGCGACCTCTTTGTGAGGGACCAGCGGACAAGAGTGCTGGCCATCTTCTACATCTTCATCCCTGTTGGAAGGTTGGTACCACCCAGGACCCACTTCCCTAGGTGGTAGACTGAGGCCCACAGTCTGGGGACAGAAGCTGGACTGGGGATCGGATTTGAATCCCAGCCCTCCTCCTTCCCTGCCACGTCCCTTTACCTCTCTGGGCCTTAGTTTTCTCGTCTGAACAGGGGGGCGAGAACACTGGCCAATGGGCTGTGTTAAGGGTTAGAGATAATACAGGTGCTCCCTCTACCCTAGGACACTTGGGAAGGCCTGCTTGGGGAGTGTGTGGGGCTGGGCCAGGCACCTCCCGGGGCAGGGTGTGTGGGTAGGTCAGAGTGGGATTTGCAATCCAACCTCTGAGCTCTGATCCAGGTTTCCTGGAACCGCCTGACTCAGGCAGGGCTGAGCCTTGGGTCCTCAGGGCGGCATTGGGCAGTGGTGCAGGGGACAGGCCTGGAGCCAGAGGTCACCAGTGACCTGACCAAGGGCAATGGACATCTGGGCCTCACATGGCTCACTTTTTCCGTGGCAGGGCTGTGAGTAGCAGGAAGCCAGCTCCTTGGGGTGGGGTGCCCCAGCACAGGCTGGCCTGGCAGCCTTGGACCTGCCCCCCCCACCCTTACCCCCCATCCCCCTTGCCCCTCTGTTGCAGCGGCCTGGGCTACGTGCTGGGGTCAGCCGTGCTGCAGCTAACTGGGAACTGGCATTGGGCCTTCCGAGTGAGTCCAGCCCCTTTTTCCCTCCGATCCCCCTGGGCCGGCAGGGACTTTCCAGCCTCCAGTGGCCTTAGCCACTTGGCACAGTCACTGGCGCCATGGGGGGTTGTCAGACATTGGCAGCTCAGAAATTGGATGGAACATGACTGTGGAGGTCATGGCCCTGGGTTCAGATGCTGGCTGCTGGGTTTGCTAGTGGTGTGAGCTCAAGCAAGTGGCTTGTAACGTGGGTGGGGTGGTCCAGGCTGCATCATGGAATCTCGGGGAGGGACAGACAAGGGTGGGAGCAGACCAGGGTAGAATGGGCCTGGCGGGTAGAGGTGGTGAGTCCTCCTGGTCGGGCTCATGGGCCCCAAGGGAGTAGTGTCTACTGCACACATTAAAGGAAGTCCCAAGGGGACCCTACTTCCCAGAGAGGCTGTACTCCTAGGGGTGATGGCGCAGCCAAGAAATGAGCCCCCTGCCCCACCCCCAGGGCACAGATCCTCCCAGACACTGGGCCACATGGCTCGTCACCGGCAGGATCTCCTGGGTCCTGGGCATGTATGTGTGGTCCTGAGCTTCCTGGGCCCTCCCATGCCCAGGTCATGCCTTGCCTGGAAGCCGTGGCCTTGATCCTGCTTATGGCGCTGGTTCCAGACCCGCCCCGGGGAGCTGCTGAGAAGCAGGAAGAGGTGGCCATGGGGGACCTGAGGAGCAGCTGGTGTGAGGATGTCAGGTACCTGGGGAGAAAGTGAGTGTTCCTGCTCCTCCCTGCACGTCCCTGAGAACCCCCGTCTGCCCCAGCAGCCCTGCCCTGCCTCTCTCTGCCTCCAGGGAGCCCCAATGTTCATAGTCTTCTTCCTCCTCTGAGCTCCCACTCACCAACTGAGGTGCCCCTCCCTCACTTGGAGGCCCCCTTCCCGCCTTGCCATGCAACAGGATGGGGGCTGGGAGGGAGGGAAGGGGAGGCAGTGTGAGTTTTGACTCTGGCTTAGCCACTGCCTTATCTCTGAGTGACCTGAGACTTGGAACCGTACTCCCCTCATTTATTCAATGGACGTAATTCTCCCAGGGTTGCCGGGAGGATGTTGGGAGTTAATCACTCACCTCTGCAAGCCTGTGGGAGTGCGTCCATCCTCTGTCCCAGGCATGGGAAGGGGGAGCAGACAGGAGTCAACTGCACTCCCAGGCCTCATGATTTACTGGAATGTGGGGCGCGGACGGGACCCAGCTCTCTTTGATACAGAGCCATGCGACCGGTGGAGGGCACTTGGAGGAAGGTGGGGGCAGAGGGGACAGCTCCCTGGAGAATGTGCTGTTGGCTTTGGGCCTTCTGGGATGGGGAGAGCTGGCTCTGCAGAGAGGAGGGAGGAAGGCCCAGCGAGAAGGAAAGTGTGGAGTGGGGTGTGCAGGGCTCCTAGGCAACGTCAGCGAGGATCCGGAGCCTGGAGCCCTCTGAGCGCCTGGGTGACCAGAGTGTCCAGGCATGGGGGCAGGGCCTGACAGGAGCCGCCAGGCCCTGCAGCCCCAGCCCTCTCCCGGGGGTCTCAGCCAGGACACTTTCTCTTGCAGCTGGAGTTTTGTGTGGTCGACCCTTGGGGTGACCGCCATAGCCTTTGTGACTGGAGCACTGGGCTTCTGGGCCCCCAAGTTTCTGTTCGAGGCCCGTGTGGTGCATGGGCTTCAGCTTCCCTGCCTCCAGGATCTGTGCAACAACCAGGACAGGTGAGGGGTCTCTGGGAGCCGTGGGCCCCTGGCCCAGGTCAGGGGGCTCTTGGCAGGCAAGTGCTCAGGCGGTTCTGAGCCCCAGAGCTCAGTGTCTCAGCGAAGAACCCAGGACTTGGGACCTAGGCGGCCCAGCAGGCCAGGATCCAGCTCTGGCCGAGCTCCTGGGGCTCTGGGTGGCTACAGGCCAGCAGCCTCATCTCCTCTGGGCCAGTTTCCCCACTCTTGGGCTGCTGTGGGGGTCTGGAAGGCACTTGGTAGAGGGGTAAGTCTTCTCTGGGGCCTGTGGGGCCTGTGGGGTGATGGGACCCGCAGCGTGAGGCCATTTTACGGATGGCACACTGAGGCACTGGGATGCCTCGTCACTTCCAGGGCTCAGGCAGGTCACACCTGCACTTGTGTTCTCTGCCTCATCTGGGGCACCAAGCATCCTGGGAAAGCTGCCAGGACGTTGGGGTGGGAGATAAAGCCACACGGAGGGCAATGCCCTCCTGTTCCCACCTCGTCCTGTGCTGTGCCTAGGCCGACACCTCTCCAGCTCAGCCCCATCCCCGTCACTCCCTTTCTCCTCCTCGTCTCCGCCTCACTCCTCAGTCCCTGCGGCCCAGGCTCAGCGACATGGGCTGTGGAGCATGACCCCTGTGTCCCCCCCTTCTCCCTGGCCTCCCCTCTGTCTCCATCTCCCCCACTGCAGCCCAGAGGGGCCTTCACGTGATGTCCAGAATGTCCCCCGCCCTGTCACTTGTCTGTGCCTTGGCCTGAGCTGGGCCTTCTGCCTGGAGCTCCCTTCCCTTTTCCATGGTTACTTCTTAAGCGATCACATTAGTTCAGGCCGAATAAGGAGCATTTTACCTGAAAAACCCTCTGAGGGTTTATGATAATAAACCCTATTGTTCCTGTGTTATGGAATGAGGAGATGGAAGATCAGAAAGATTAGTGCAACAGAGCCAGCCTCAAACCCATCTGACTATGAAGCTGGTGCTCCTAGCGCCACATCCTGGAGCGTCCGGAGCCGCCTGGGGCTGCTGGTGACGTGAACATCCGCGGCCTCCTGGTACACAGCAGGTGCTCAGGGGAAGCATCAGGGAAGGAGTGAAGGAGGGCATCCAGTGAGATTGTGCTGTTGGTCTTGGCTCTACCCCAGGCTTGTTATCTCCCAGAGACAGAGACCGGGGTCTCGAAGTCCCGCGGCAGCCTGGACACACGGGGGGGAGGCCCACGACAGCCTGGACACATGGGGGGGAGGCCCACGACAGCCTGGACACACCGGGGGAGAGGCCCAGGGCAGCCTGGACACACGGGGGAGGGTGTCCCGCAGCAGCCTGGACACACGGAGGGGGAGGCCCAGGGCAGCCTGGACACATGGAGGGAGGGTGTCCCGCGGCAGCCTGCACACACGGGGGGCGGGTCACAGGACTCACGTTCTCGTTTGGCTCTCGCTGGCTCCGCATCCGTGGGCAAGTCAGTTCCCCTTTCTCAGCTTCAGCCTCGTCCTCCGACCTGGCTCCTCCACGGACCCTGTGTGGCCAACGACGTCCTAGGGCCCACGTGGCAAGTGCACAGGCGTGGTGCTTAGAGCAACAGAACTGTTCTCCGAGGTCCCGAGGCCAGGCATCCAGAGTGGTTTCACCAGGCCAGAGCCAAGCTCTGCAAGGCCGCACCCCCTCCGAGGCCCCAGGGGACCGTCCTCCTGCCTCGTCCCCTCTGGGGGCTGCAGGTGTGCCCCGGCTTGTGGCCGTGTCCACAGTCTCTGCAGCCACGGTCCTGTTGCCTTGTCCTCTGTGTCTCAAGTCTCCTTAGGCTTCCCTCTCATAGAGACACTTGTGGTTGCCTGTGGGGCCCCTCGAATATGGACCCTTAACGTAATCCCGGTGACAAAGTCTGTTTGCCGTAGAAGGTAACAGTCACAGGTTCCAGAGACTGGGACACAGACATCTTGGGGGGCATTATTCAGCCTGCCACAGAGTAGATAGAAGTCCCGGTGTTGGGGTTCTGCACCCACCTCAGCTATTAATACACCCTCCGTGGTTGGGGTAAGCCCCAGGGTGAGGGTGCGGCAAGGGCAGGAAGCTCCAGGACACAGGACTCCAGCTCAGGCTCTGGGAGTTCTGGGACGGGTCCATGAGCTCGTGTGCTCCACACTTATCTGCGCTGCTAGCACGGAGTCAGGAAAGTAAGCCAAACCTGGTGTCTGTCCTCCAGGACATCACAGTCTGGTGAACGACCTTGATGGTGGGAGCGCAGAAGGTGCTCTGGGAGCTGAAGGGAGTGAAGGAATCTGCAGAGGGGCAGGGGAAGGCATCTCCAGAGAGGGGATATTTGTGAGGGGTCTTGAAGGATGAGTAGAAGTTTGGTAGGTGGGAAAACTAGTCAAGTGTCCAGATGGAGAAGTGAAGGTCTGAAGTGGGGACAGAAACTCGTCTGGGGGCAGAAGAGGTTGGAGCTCGGGGATGGGGTTGAAATCAACCAGGGTCAGACCATGAAGGGCCACGTTCATCATAGTGAGTTGGCACGAATCTGGAGGGTGTCTGAGAGCCGGTGGAGGGTTTTCGGTTGGGGTTGGGCAGATCTGTATTTTAGAAAGCACCCTCAGGGGACCCGTATGGAGTCTGCTCTGGAGGAACAGCTTTTCCCAGGGGCAGCTTGAGAGGGTGCCAAAACTGCGTGGAACAGTGGGGTTCAGGAGGGCATGGGCAAAGCTCGATAAGGGCCAGGGGATCCTAGGAGCTCAGTAAATAAATGTTCCTGTGCCTCCATTCCCATTCATGTGGGGGCGAGAAGGCAAGGAGGTTGGGGCCAGAGTGGGGCAATTGAGATTTCTGAGGGGGGCAGTTTGGGATGCTGAGAGGTTGGAGAAGCTCACTGGAGGTGAGGCATGCTGGGCCGGTCACCCCCATGGCCGGTGACGTCCCCAGGACGAGGCAGGAATGGGGATGGGGGAAGGGGAGTAAACAGGTCCCTGACCAGGACCCTGAGGCCCCGGAAGCCTTGGTTCGGAGGGACGGGGAGGGGCTCACAGCCACATTCCCCCTAGGTACTCTGTCCTGCACTGGGGGCTGAACCCCCCGGCAGGGCTGACCCCACCTGGCTGACTGACTCTGCTCTGTTCTTTGTCCTCAGCTTGATTTTTGGGATTCTGACTGTGGTGACTGGCATCATCGGGGTGGTCCTGGGAGCAGAGGCTTCAAGGAGGTACAAGAAAGTCAACCCGCGGGCTGAGTCCTTCATCTGTGCCTATAGCCTGCTCCTTGCTGCCCCCTGCCTCTACCTGGCTCTCATCCTGGCCCCGGTCACTCTTCTGGCCTCCTATGTAAGTGAGGGCCCCTGGGGCGGTGGGGGGGGGGGCTGGTGTGTCGCTCCCGTTCACATGGGCTGATACTGTGCCTGGTCTCTATTTGTGTCTCTCACTCCTCCCGGGGAGCATTGGGTACCCCCATTTTACAGATGTGTAAATTGAGGTTTACCAAGAGTAGCACAGCTGGGAAGGAACAGAACTGGGATTTGAGCCTGAGCCTTTCTGACTCTAGAGTGTGTCCTCTGAGCCGCTGGTTAACACTTTGGTTGGAGACAGTGGGACTCATCCATTCCTCGAGGATGCTGTGAGCTCGAGGAGACTTAGGGAACGACGAGGGGAGTGAGGCCCAGATCGGCCATGGCCGTGTGCCGACGCCACTGTAGGGTGCCGGTCTGACACTATCCCATGCATCCTGTCACCAGGGTGAACCAGGTCAACCAGGGCCACAGCGTGGCCACACCAGCCGCAGGCTCACACCTCCTCCCAGCCTCTGCCAAGGACACCCTTCCCTCCTGGGCATCCTGAATCCTTCTTCTGCAAGGCCCAGCGCAAAGGCTTCTTCTCCAAGAGCCTTTCCAGACCATTCTGTGCTCATGCTTGGGCTCAGGCACCGTGGTTATGGGGGGGGCTGTGTGCACCCCCCCACACATGTGCCCAGCAGTGTCCCTGGCTCCCCACGCCCCAGCCTGATGGTCCCACCCAATGGGAAGGGACCCGTGATTCTGCCCCACCAGATGGGTTCCCTTCCCCCTCCCATCCCGTTCCAAGGTCCTGGGGTCCCCCGTCACGGATACAGATGCCCCTGAGCAGGCTGGACTCAGAAGGCAAATCACTAACGGCTTTACTAGTGTCCTACCCACGACCAGACCCCACAGGTCTTCAGTTACACTCGTGAACTAAAGAAGCCTGGTCCCGTTTCAACCCAAACTTTGGTTCTGCTTCCCAGTACTCTCTGTCCAGGCCCAGATCATGGCACCGGGGCAAGAGGGAGCTGCTGTTGGTTTGGTCCCGCTCGGCCCGCCTCCGCTCTGTTCCCCAGGGTGGCCCCCTCCCCTCCAGTCTGGGCGAGGACAGCCCGAGATGGGGCAGGATTCTCCGAGTCCAGAGTCGCTTTGCTGTGGCCCAGACTCTGGCGAGCTCTGCGCTCGGGGGTGCTTTGTGGGTTTGGGAGCTCTGGTATTTGCATCGTCTGATTCTTGGTGCAGGTGACCCTGTCGCCTCCATGGCACAGCTTCCCTCTGCTCAGCTCCGCGGTGGCCCTTCCGGCTGTTCCTGCCCGGACCCTGTCGCCGGTCCCCTCTTGTGACCCTCGGGCCCTCCCCGTCCGTGGCGTCTGTCAGACCCCTGCATGTGCTCGGGACGGGCCTCGGCCCGCTTGTCCTCGCGCTCCCGGGTGACGTGCTGGGGTGCTCCCATGGTGCCCTCTGGCGCGGGAAGGTCAGCATGTTGCTGGCGTCCTCAGTCTGGGGGTGGGCCTCCCGGAGCCCCTCCCCAGCGTCCTCACTCTTCAAGTGAACCCTCCGCAGCCTGCCCTCCACACGCCGGGGTGGGGGCGCTTCTCTCCCGAGGCCTGAGGGCGGGGCCGGTGCGTCTCTCGCGGTGCGGGTGCTGCCTGCCCGTGTCCAGCCGTGGGTGGGCTCCTGCCAAAATCCCTGGAGAGCAGACAGGCCCTGCTGGCTCGTGTTCTGCTCATGCTCCTATGTAGCCCTCACGGCACCCGCGTGGGGAAGGGCTTCTCACCCCCACTTACAGATCAGAAGACTGAGGCCCAGGGACAGCAACACGGACAGTGGGACAGATGAAACGGAGACTCAGCCCGCAGACGCCATACTGACCCTGTCGCCCCCAGGGGGCGGAGCAGAGCCCGGCATACACTAGGCGCTAATAAATGCCTGGGTGCCCACTGACATCCTGGCGGAGGGAGCGGAAGACGGAGTGGGGGCTGCGTGGGCCCGACCTTGCGGGCAGATGGAGGCCCATCACGGGCCTGTCCCTGCATCGGCTGGGGCCGCGGACCCCTGCCAGCCCTGCTTCTGCCACGGTCTCGGTTGGCTCTGGGAGGCAGCTCCTTGGCTGTGTTTAGGGGACACAGCTGTCTCCCCCTCTGCAGCCGGGCGCATCTCCAGAGCTGGATGCCTCGTCTGGAAGTGACATTGCGCCTGGCTGACAAAGCCAGCTGGAGAAATTCTTCTTGAGGCCTGGCCAGGGGTGAAGGGCTGTGGGGCAGGACGGCGGGCAGGCCCAGGACGTGTCCCTCCTCTGGTGCTGGGAAGCCGCTCCTTCCCGTGGCTCGTGTTCGGGCCTGGTGGGTCCCGGCGGCACTGAGCCCCCAGGCCAGGCTCCAGCCTTCCGGGAGCAGCGCGGAACCTCCAGACCTCCTGAGCAGGAGCCCACTCTGTGCCTCCGTCTGTGCCTCTGACGTCGAGCCGTTGTTCGGGCTTGAGATCCAGGCCCCGGCTCCTTCCCCCCCGCCCAGCACCAGTCTCAGAACCCTCCCACGTCCGGGCCTACGCTCCTCTCCCGGTCCCCTCTGCCTGGCGTGGCGCGTGCCTTCTGTCTTCCTCCAGGACCTGGGCCAGGAGCTGCCCTCCCGGGCTGCTTGTCTTGCTGCTCACCTACCGCGGTCTCTTTTCCTCACGTGGCCAGTGACACCGCACACCTTCCCGGGCTCCTTGGTGCCTCTGGAACCCAGTCTGGCTCCTCCTGTTGGCGCTCGAAGCCCTCGGGGAACTACCTGGATGGCCCTCATGGCCGCGTCCCCCGGGCAGGCCCGTCCCGGTTCCCTCCCCACCCCATCCCTCCTCGGAGCTTCCCTGACTGCTGGGCCCCACCCTCGCTCCCCTCCTGGTGCTCTCACACCGTCTTCCTCATGCTCTGACCGCTCTCCCAGCCCGGGGGTCCAGGGCGGTTCCCATCTTCCTCAGTGCTGGGCCCGAGACACAGTGCCAGGCATTCACATCATTCAGTCATTCAACAAACACTGAGGGCCTGCAGAGGGGTGTGCTGGTTTAACTGCAGCAGGTACGGCAGTGGATAAGGACTAAAGCATCTCCGTCTTTGGGGGGTTACATCCTTGCCGAGGGAGGCAGCGGGCAGGCAAGACGAAGGAGTGCACTTCACGATATTTCAGAGGATGCAGCGCTTGGGAGTGTGTGGGGGCGGATTTGCGCGGCCGCGGGCTCCCCAGGCGGCGGTGTTGGGCGAAGATGTGTAGGCAGTCCTGCAGGGGGTGCAGGAGGGCTGGTGTGGGTCGTTAGGGTCCTGAGGTAGATGCACACCTGCTGGGTCTGAGGAACTGCAAGGACCCCGTGCTTAGTGAGGAGGGATGGACGGGAGGGCAGGAGGTCGGGTTTGCACAGGGCCTGCGTGCGTCGGCTGGGACCGGCTTGGGCTGAAGTGAGGGAGGTCTGTCGAGGTGCCCGCGGGGCTTGTCCTTTACCGATATGGTGCGTTGATCGCCCTGTGTGTTAGTTAGCCAGCCTTGCGTTCCCAAGACAGGGTCTTGGTCGTGCCACGCCATCGCCACCGGAGAGGCTGACGTGGGCTGTGGCGGCGACCCCGTGGAACGCCCCAACAAGTCCTTCTTCCTCTTTCATTTTGGGAAGAGCTTGGGAATGATTTGTGTTAATTCATCTTCAGACATTTTTAGAATTCACCGGTGAAGCCATCTGGTTCTGGGCTTTTGTTTGTGGGAAGTTTCGTGGTTACTGACTCGGTGTTTACTTGTTATAGATCAATTAAGGCTTTTTATTTCTTTTCTGTCTCTTTCGATAGTTGGCGGCTTTCTAAGAGTTCATACCTTTGTGTAAGTGTCTGCTTTGTTGGCATACGGTTGTTCGTAGTCACCCCTTCCAGTCTCTGCGAGGTCGGCAGGCGTGCGCCTCTCCCACCCTGGTTTTAGTGACCGGTGTCCTGTCCTTTCTTCCTGGTCGGCGTCAGTTTGCCACCAACTTTGCTTTTATTGATTTTCTCTATTGTTCTTCGGTTATCGGCCACGTTCAGTAGGATCAGTCTGGTTTCTGTGGACACAGGTGTGGACGGCGCTAGACCATTGCCCTGACATGGATGGGGCGGCACGGCCGCGAGGCGTGGGCCAGAGCTGCCCCACGGAGGCGGGAGGCGTGGGTGGATCATGAGTATTCTTGGAGGGGTGTCCTGATGACTCCGTGTGGGGTGTGAAAGAACGCGGAGGCGCAGGGACCTCTCCGCCCGGGAGACCGGGAGAGGGCCGTGGCAGGTGCAGTGGGTTTGGATGACGCAGTGGTGGGAGGTGCTGGTGGGGACTTAGACGTGGAGTCTGGAGCTGGGGGTCACAACGTCACCCCTGCAACCCTAACGGGTGGGGACTGGCTGTAGCCCAGTAGGAAGCACCGTCGGCAGATCTGGGGGACATCCAGGGCCGATATCAGAAAGGGTGTACAGAGAGGGCTGAGGGATTGACTTGTGTTCAGAAGAGGAAGAGTCACTCGCGTCTCTTCTGTCCATCCGTCTGTCCGTCCGTCCATGTATCCCTTTACTTTCCCAGATTCCGGGAACCAAACCAGTTCTTCCTGCACTGTCTCTGACCGTCTGGGGGAGATGGATCTGGCTTCTTGGGAAGGCGGGCCCGTGTGCACGTGCGCGTGCACTATAGGGTGAATCTATTCAGGTCTGTAGATACGCGTGTGGACATATGTGTCCTGTGTATAAGCATCTCTGTGTGCCTACGTGGTCGTGCCGAATGTGGATTGCACGTGTCTGTGGGTTGATTCTGTGCGTGCTGTGTAGGAGCGTGTCTGTGTGTGCTGTTTCACATAGGGGTCTGTGCATGAGTGTGCACACGCATGTGTGTATCCAGGCACCAAGTGTTGTGTGCACATGCGTGTCTGACCCACTGCTCAGTGAGGAGGGATTTGGGGCCGTGCTGTGCTGGATGTTTCCTGGCAGTGAGGTTCCCTGAGCTCATGAAGTCTGTTCTGGGGCCTTCCCAGGGGAGCCCATGCCCGGAGCCCACCTCCACAGAGAGTGCTCCATCT